GGAGGGCGTGGGAGCTGCAGTCATGGGGGTTGGAGCTTTGATGGACTCAGAGCCACTGGTGCTTGGTGGCTTGGCCATGGTGGCAGTGTCATTGTACCGCCAACGGCATGGAGTTCAACGCGAACAAGAAGGCTTTGATTTGCATTATGGAGGAGACCTACTACCAGGGGTTGAACATCTTGCTGAGGCGTCTGAACCTCAGCTGAATGAAAAGAGAAAAAAGGAAGAAAAGAGTCTGAAGACCACAAGACTGGCAAAAAGACCGCAGAAGGACCACAAGAGTGGCCAACCCCCAAAAGGGACTTTGGATGAAGCGGCACATCCATCCCATCCACAAAGCCGAGCCAGCACGGCAGAAGGTTCAAAAGAAAATCTTGGTTGTAATGGCTCACAGAGCTTCTTTCCAGGGTATGGGGGAGTAGCTCACGTCCCTGGATGTCCATCCACGGATCGGGCGCGACCATGTGCTAGCAATGGGGTGGAGTCGTCAAGGCCACCAAAAGGTGCTCTGCAGGAGCAATCAGTGCATGTGACTGGAGGGTTGCAATCAGTGCCTGAGGTGCCGAGGGTGAGCGCACTTCGATATGAGGGTGATCCTAATGATCCCATCGAAGATGATGACTCAGAGGCCGACCCTGGTGTGCCATTCCCACATGGGGACCCTCACGGCAATGCCTATCTACGACAACTTGGGCGGGTACCTCCCAACTACAAAGCTCCTCCAGTGCAATGGATGCAACAACATGCGCCTAAGGCGGCATTGCCTAAGGCAAGACCGAAGAGGAGGGCAGAAGAGGCACAACCAAAACAACGTGCAGAAGCCTTCCAAAGAGCAGTTGCTGCTGAACGGGGGAGCATTCATCAAGCAGTTCAACGTGAACAACAACAAGGTGCTTCCTCTAGCAGCTCAATAGGCCAACAAGGATATCCACAACGGCAACCTCCAGGAGCTCAACCACGAGAACCAACTGACAATGAAGTTGATGAGGCTCTTCGAAGGGTTGCAGAAAACTGGCTGTTCACACAACCTCCACGGGTTCAAGATGGATGGCACTACATGGATGTTGTGGAGCTCTTTGGCAAGAGGTATCGGGTGGTGATGCGAAACCACCGAACATCAAGAAGACGAAGCTTCCATCCAGTTCACCGAGGAGCTCCAGGCAATCTCTTGGGAAGGAGACTCACGGTGATCCATGGAAATGGAAGACGCAGTGAAGTGGCTGACAACTGGTCTGAATCTTGGGAAACGACTGGTTGGACGGGCTACACGTTGTTTCTTCAGCGACTCCCAGAAGAACCTCAACAACCTGCCACTTCAAGCCAGAGCATTACCCAACCAGTTGCCACTACGCAGCTGGATGAGGAGGCTGAGGGCGATGGCAGCTTCGAGTTGGTCGAAGATGATGATCCTGGTGGTCAAGGTCAGGGACCACAACTTCGGGCGATGTCTCTTTTTTCATCCGCTGATGGTGCCATGGGATCGTCGGTGACTTCGGCATCGACACGACTGGTCGCGGATGAGGGGGAGATGAGCTTGGATTTGATGGACATCCCGAAGGGCTTGATCCGAAGGAGACGGACCAAAAGGGTCAAACAAGACCGACATGACCGACTCGAGGACAGCAGTTGGAGTGGAAAAGGTAAGGGTTCCGGGTTAGTATCAGGGTTTCAAAAAATGTCCCCAAACAGAAAGGGTTACCCAAAAGGGAGCACCATGTCTTCAGAAACCCAAAACATGAGTACTACCACAAGGGGAACTTCGTTGGGACATGTTGCCGGTGATTGGCAAAGTTTTGATGCTCAACGGGTTGCAGTTTTGACTTCGTTGCGGCCTGGTTCAAATATAGACGAACAACCTCCACCTGCTCTGCGATTCTTTGCAGTGATGAGCGATGGTGGAGAAGACCGAGGTAACCGTGGTTGGCAAGAAGATCGTGAAGATCGAAGTGGCCACGGTGAACCTGGAGAAGACCAAGGGGATCGTGGTCGGCAAGGAGATCGAGAAGATCCAAGAGACCGCAGTGAACCTGGTGAAGTGAATAAAAGGTGCCCGGGGAAACCGAAGCCAAAAAGAATAAGCCTCAAACCGGCTTCGCGGGTAACCTTGAGACCGGCCTCACGGACGCCTGAAGAAAAGGAGGAGGGCGTCAGAAGGGTCATCATGCTGGATGATGAACTACACCCAGGAGAAGCCGAACGCCCAAAAGAAGCCGCGCACCCAGAAGAGGTTGCAGATGTTGAACATCAAGAAGAAGTTGAAAGAGACGAGCCCCGGGAACAAGAAGGGCCAAAAATGAAGAAGTACCGCAGGGTACGGGTGAAAAAGAAAGCGCCGCAGTTGGAAAGGGATGTCAAGGAGATGCAAAACGCAGGAAAAACAAGGAATGAAAAGATGGCATACCTTCGACGTCTACAACGAGAGCGGCAAGAGCGGCAAGCAGCTGGGAAGCCTCCTGGACAAGTAGACCTACCAGAATCAAAGGAACCTCAGGAGAACAAAAAACCTGAGGAAGGCAAAGCGGAGGTGACAGAAGAACCTCAACCAAGGACGCCGTCGCCATCTTCGGTGGATTGGAAAGCTGCCGAGGAGGAGACGAAAAGGCAGTTTGCCGAGGCGAAGGCGGCGGGCCGCAGAATCCTCTCTTACGAGGAGTGGGACAAGGAGCGCAAGGAGAAGAATGAGAACTTGCGCCAAGCAGCACTGCGGAGGTCATGGCTAGACCGAGAAATAGCCCGCAGAGCTCTACAACAAGAAAGAGGTGCAACCAGAGAAGCAGTTCTGAGGAGCACAACGACATCGGCATCTGGACCGCTTACGGATGAGGAGTGGGTGCAGATGCAGCAGATGATGAAAAGGTTGCCACCAGCACCTCCATGGCAGTGTGAGCAGCCCAAAAAGGATGAAGAGCAGCAGCAAGACAAAAGGGCCAAAACGGTCCAAAAGGACCCAAAGCACGGGATGCCGCCACCACAGCCGGATTTGCCGGCACCACCTCCGCAGGGATATGCCGGAGTTTGGAGAGGTGGATGTTGTCCGGGCTTTCGTTGGCAAGGGGGGAAACAAGGTCATCATGGACCACAAGCACCTCAAGGACAACAAGGCTTTTGGCCTGGATGTGGAGGGCAACAACACCATGGACCTCCAAGAGGACCTCAAGGCTTTCATCCAGGACTACAAGGACAAGCACCAGCGCAACAAAGCATGTCGCTGGACCTTGGGCCAGTGAGATATAGGTCTCCTGAAGAACTGGCAGAAGCGACGGCATGGTTGGAACGACAGCGTGGCGGCCCTGAAGTGGATTTTCGCACACCAGGCGATGTGGTCCGGCATGACTTGGCGATGGCAATGGCGAAGTCAAGGGCAAAAGCCGGAATGCCGACACCACCACCAACAAGGATGGTAAGTCCGCCTCGACGAGAAGTTCCTGCACCGCCGCCGGAACCACAACAAGAACAAAGCAGAGGAGAAGATGCTGGAGAATCTCTCTTACAGAGAATCCTCAGGTTGGCCGGAGCTGGGCCAATATGTGGGGGAACTCCGCCATCGACACCAAGGGTGCCTTCACCGTCGAGAACACTGTCGAGCACCTCAGAGGCTGAGATCTTGGAGGTGCAGTACGACGAAACCAATGCAGCTCAAAATGAGGAGATGGCCTTGCGACCTAAGGCTCGTCCTCTTCAGCGGGACCCTAGGCATGGGGCGATGGCTGCAACTGGTGGTGACGGTGGACGAGATGGCCCTGGAGACAGAGATGACCCACGGCGCAATGACAGAGCAAGCCCAGAACCTGAAGCAGAGGACGATGAGGATGACTCTGTGGAAGAGACGGCGACCCAGGAGTTCATGTATCGGATGAAAAGAAGGTCCGATGAGCTGATGGGACGGAAGAACAAGCGCAGGTCGGCAAGAGCTCTGCATGGGAGCCCCAGAAGCTCCGAAAGGGGCGTGGCCACACGGTCAGATGGTGGCCGGAGCGTCGTGGCAAGGGCACCAGGGGTGAGGATTCCACAATAACCCACTCGGTGACGAGCCCTACGGGATGGCAGCGCATCTATGCGAAGGGAAAGCAGCCAAGGGCACTTCGCGTCTCCAACCAAGGGGGCAAAGGCAGTGGGGGCCGCATCGTCCTGCAGGGCAAGGGCGCGAACCCAGCGGCCGAACTGCAACTGGCGCAGTCGCTGAGCCGGGCAGCCGCTGCAGTACGGCGAGCTGAAAGCGCCGTGGCCACCCATGGGAATGGCAGCGAGGGGGCAGAAGCAGCCTATGAGGAGGCGGCTGTGGCGGTGAACCAGTACTTGGATGCGGATGCAATCCTACACCCGCCAACTGGCGCTTCAAGCTCCAGCGCAGCACCTTCGAGCTCAAGTGCAGCACCAGTGGGAAGAGGAGCTGCAAATCTGGGGTTGGAGGTCTACCGCGACTTCCTCCAGACCAAGGGCAAGGGCAAGACAAGCCGAGCTCATGCAGATGCAGCTGCAGAAGAAGAAGGATCTGACCCAGAAGCAGATCCTGAAGAAGAAAACTATGAAGAAGAAAACTATGAAGAGGAGGTTGAAGAAGAAGAAGAACATGGTGATGAAGGGGACTACGTCGAGGTGGAGCTCGAGGTGATCCCTGAAGAAGACCATGAAGGTCATGATGCAGCAGAAGGTCCAGCAACAGAGGACCACGAAGTTGCAGGGCATGATGATGGTGGACCTGCAGCACATGGCCTGGAAAGCAATGAAGAGGAAGAACGCCATGAGGACGACCCGAACTACAACGAGGAAGAGGAGTTCGTCCATGAAGAGCACAGTTGAAGGAGCCTTGGGCCTGACTGGCCGTAGAAATTTTTCAGGTCTAGTCTTTAAGACCCGTAGCAACATGAAAAATGGCCTCGTCTTTAAGGCCGACAACTTTTGGTGGCCGCATGGGGAGTGCATCAAAGATGCAACTCAAAGCGTTTTGGGCCACTCAATAAGACCTTGTGGCAACGTGTGAGGTCTTTCACACGGCCCTTTTAGGCTGTAGCTGCACTGTCCCTAGTATAGCGATTCGGCAACCTGCCGAAGGGGGAGTGCAAAAGGGTTTTCAGAATCAGGCCTTATGGCTATGATCAAGTGTAGTATCAAAGCAGTGACAGACTGAGCTGTGGTGGATAACAACAACTTTCTACCGCAGGCTCCTTTTAAGCCTCAAAGAAAAGTGCTCAACGCTGCTCCGCAAGCACTGACAAAACCACACATGGCTTGACTCAAATGGGCATGAGTCAAAATGCAAGACCCTGCTGTAGCACTGACTTCCGTAAGGTGTTGTTTCATAGCCATCCCAATTCATCAACAAAACAGTAACAGTTTTCACATGGATCAAATTTCGACAAATGTTCATAGTTTTTCATAGTTTTTCATAGTTTTTCTTTGGGGGATGAAGATCCATTTACCCTCTGGTAATTTGTTACATAGCTATTGAAAATGACCGTAGAAATAGTTGATTTACCCAGCTATAAAATTGTGATTTTCCACAGTTATGTAAACGTTTACCAGGCCGGGTACATATCCATAACTAACATCTCCAGGTGCCGCCATAACCAGCTATTTTTCAGGATGTTCACCATGATGTTCACCAGGTGTGCAAAAGGGTGCCCAGGCTGCAGGTCCAACAAGCCCTCCGCCAGCTCCTCCAGGCGAAACTCCTCTGGTGTCCTCGGGGGTGCCATGGATGCCATGGATGCCATGAAGATGGGATGGAGATGGGGGATATCTCAAGGTTTGTCACCTTTCAAATGGATTCGAATGGGCAAGATTCAAGATTCAAGAAAGGCTTTGAAAGGCTTCAAATCGCTGAAAAAAGTTGAAACATCTGAAGCATATTCAATGTGAAGAAAGCGGGGCGACTTTGGGATGCCCATTGAATCTTGAAGATATTTGCGGTAGGAACTCCATTGCTGGTCAACATCTAACAAATATGTCAATATGTGAAGGAAAAGATCGTCTGACACTGTGAGCATTTTTCAACCTTTTTTCAACCTAGAAGTCTGTCTGCTGTGCTCCGTGTCTTGGCTACCGACACATCTTGGCAGGTATACTCCTTGTTTGGCCAAACGGGTCCCGTTTGGACAGAGGAATGTCATGGAATGTCCTAATTCAACGGAGCAGGGTGATGATGGTTTATCTGGATGTGTCTGGTTGAATTATATTGATTCACCAAACCTAGTTAGGTTTGGCAATTTTGGGATACAGATACTGGTTGGTGGTTGAGCCACCCCTCTGAAAAATATGAAAGTCAGTTGGGATGATTAGTCCCAATATATGGAAAAATAAAAATTGTTCCAAACCACCAACCAGGATATATATATCTGGGTAAATTGTAATATTTCACTAACCTGAATTAATGCCATTTGGGGATGATTCCCCTTATTAACCATAATTCCCAGTGAGGTCGCGACGTGAGGTCGTTATAATTTGCCCAGATATATGTAATGTACTGTGCTGTGCTGTACTGTACCCCCGCCTGCTTCTCCTTCAGCCAAGTGCAACTCTGCTGACCAGGACCACAGGAGCAAAAGTCCTCACAGGACAGGACAGGAGCGTCTCAGTGGTGAGGGATAGCTATGGAAAATCGCCATTTTTCATGGGAAAATTATTAAAATTCACTAGCTATGCTAGTCATTACCAGAGGGTAGAGGTTTTATGGTATTTTAATGTATTTTACTATGGTTTGATTGGGATATTAATATAATATCAATGGGATATTAATGGGATATTAATGGGATATTAATGGACATAGAATCTAGAGTAAAACAATGCCATAAACAAGCCATGACTGGGAATGGTAACCATGCCATCTATAAAAATGGTGATTTTTTTGGGGGTTATTATTGTTTTACCCACATTAGACTAGCTGCCATTTGGATGGGAAGAGAAATCAGGCGGAAACCAGCAGTGAAAATCCAGAATGATTCCCGATTACCCTCTGCATATGGGTGTTTGATCTGTAAATTCTTGTACCCCAAAAGCACGAGTTCCCTTGTAAGATAAATAAGTTGTGTACTTGTAGGGTCCCCATTTTAGGCGAAAAGGACAATTTCAATGTGTATATCTGTATATAATTAAAATATAATACATGTACAACAAGCATTCAGGTGGTTTTGTCTAAAAGTAGGATACCCAAAATCCGCTGCTCGATCATTGGTTCCATACTAAAATTGCCATATACGTATATAATGTAATATATATATATATATATACATATCATGTAACCAGTGTATTCATTGGTTCATATTGGTTCAATCTCTACGTTTCATGGTTAAATCAAATCATCACGCGTAGTTACACCCTTTGTTTAACGATGTTTAACGCATCAGTTGGTTCTCCCCGGCTACCCTGTGGCCTGATGGGCATAGGGCATCACCACGGATCGAACATCCTGGAGCGATGGAAGTTGATCAACTCCAACAGGAAATAGTGGTTTTTCTATGTTTTTCTCACTTTAGAAGGCATCTAAAAATGAGGGTTACTATATACACATCTGTACACAAAAATCTCAGGCACACCGATAATATGGTTGCATTGATTTGAAGGGAAATCTACAGGATTTACCATGCTTCTTCCAGTTTTTCGATAGTTTGGAAGATTTCCCATTGAAAGCCAATTCTTGGACCGTAGTGGGTTGGTTCAAAATCCCTAACGGAAAACCAGTTTGATCAAACCATTTTCGCAACATATCACATCCAGCGATATCCAGTCCAGCTATTCAAATCAAGTGATAAGTGGATGGTCTCATAAGTTACGCTCCAACCAACACGACAAATCATGGGTAGTCTGGGTTCAAAATCGACCCGGGAGATTCACACCAATGCTGCGATTTATGGAGATTTATAGATCTAAACCCCGGCGATTTTCCATGGCAAACTGGCAAATAACCAGATGGTATTCACTATATAGATTCCCCAGATGGTGGATTTCCATGGATTTCCCATTGGGAAAATAACACATCACCTTAAACACAGCCAGGTAAGTGCCAGTCCCCAAGTGCCCAGGGGCACCCCAAGTACCTCGTCTCGCAACAGCAACGCGACGGCAAAGGTCCGCAACTGGAGACAGCACCGAAAGGTCTCCGAACTCCCCGGGGACGGTTCTTTAATAAATGGGTACCCCATAAAAATGGATGGTTTATGGATGGTTTATGGAAAATCCCATAAGATCATCCATATTAATCCATGGCTTATCCCGAAAGGGGCTACTACCCCCATCCTACCCCCATCCTACCGACTTGGAAACCTCCAAGGCTCACGCTGGATTGTTTCCCCAGCGATGAAGCCAGAAACCGCCTCGCGAAGCGAAGCGAGCGCAGGGAAGCTGAGGTAGCAATCCTATGAATCCCCAACAAAGATAGAAACACAAGAAACTTCATGGTATTTTATTAGATACAAATATATTTTAATATATTTTAATATATATTTTAATATATATATATATTAATATATTTTAATATATTTTAATATATTTTAATGTATTTTAGTATGGTTTGACTGGGATAAATCCATGGGATAATCATCGGATATCAATGGATCCCGTGGGGTTTTTCATGGCTGTGGCGACCTTGTCCCAGGATCACTGGGCACCTACCGAATCCATGTATCGGAAGAAGTCCTCGCAAAGCAAGGAATCGAAAGTGGTGTGTTGTTTGACCCAGCAACGAGGATATGAAATAAGTTTTGTTAGACATTTTTAGAAATAGTATATATATACAAAATTAATCAAAATGATACAAGTCTGGTAGGGTACGTAGCTGGAATGCATCCCCAACTCGATCACAACTGCCATCAACTGTCACTGTCCTGGTAGGTTTCGCTTCGGAACCAATCCAGACGTACCACTTCAATGTCCAGCATCAAACACTGCCTCGGTCTTCGCGGTTTTCGGTCAACAAAGTGATGACTCGGCCTCTGCAGCTTCTTATAGGTATATGTCTCAACATGATGAGTAACCCAGAATTGTCCAAAACCACATGCTTCATCACAGTTTCCCCATCAAATACATCTAATTGTACGTATATATATATATTACCCATAGGATCCATGTATGGTATATATGCTTACATTTGGGGATATTGATGGTAAATGTTACCATATATATCCATATATAGCATACATGAATCCGTAATGAGTTATAATATGTTATAATCATATCAAACCCATATCATATTATTCACCATTATTACCCATATCATCATTATTATAACCCATATCAAACCCATATATAATATGTTATAACACATTCAATCTTTCTCAAGTGTTCCCAATCTTTCGCGGCTTGGGTGTCTCGCTGGTACCATTTGAAATTCTTCTCGATCAGCGCGGACAACATCCTGGCGCCGATTTCACATGCCGAAGCCATGCTGAAACGATATGAAACGATATGGCTGGAACCCCCCAGCTATGGTTTTCCAAAGAAAAATATGATATACATATGATATACTGGTTAGTGGTTTCAATGGATTGGTTTAAGGGAAAATTTACAGGAATCCCCCATTCAATGAATGGGAAAATCATGGAAAATCTATGGTTTCCGGTTAAGATTTTCCCAAGAAAACCAATCCATTGATGGTTGAAAAACCATCTTGAAAAATATGAGTCAAGTCAATGGGAAGGATATGGAAGGATAACATCCCATAGATGAAATGGAAAATAAAAGATGTTTCAAACCACCAACCAGTATAATTATATATATATCATACTATACATTTCTATACATTTCTATACAGAGTATAATTGTATATATATATATATCATACTATACATTTCTATACATTTCTATACAGAGTATACTTGTATATATATATATCATACTATACATTTCTATACATTTCTATGCAGAGTATAATTGTATATATATATATCATACTATACATTTCTATACATTTCTATACAGAGTATAATTGTATATATATATATATATCATACTATACATTTCTATACATTTCTATACAGAGTATAATTGTATATATATATATATCATACTATACATTTCTATACATTTCTATACAGGGTATAATTGTATATATATATATATATCATACTATACATTTCTATACATTTCTATACAGAGTATAATTGTATATATATATTATACTATACAGTTCTATACATTTTCGATTCACAGATCTATACAATATGACTGATTTCCATCGATTTCCCACATCCAATAATTAATATGATGTTGATTGGATAAAGTCGAGTCACACCCTTCGAGGATTTTTGGTGCCACAGATCGCCTGGTACGGCGTGGATTCAACTGGTGAAGGCGACAGTAGAGCAGAAAGTAATGCATGAAGTTGACCACCACCTGATGGATCCAATGTCTTCGAATCCAACAAAGGTCGCAAGGTGTTTTTTGTAAAGTGCAACTGAGTCAACAATTTAAGTTTTTCAGATTATATGGGTTTAGGGGAAGCAAGGCACTTAAACACTAGGAAACCATATGTTAAACACCTCAATCACACCCATAGAGGGCACCAGGCCCATGAGGCCCACGGAGTTAAGTTTCCTTGCTTACCCCATATGAGTAATATGGATATATGATGTTCTGTTGATATGTAAATGTTTCAGTATATTTTTAAAAAAAAAACATATGTCTTCCAGGATATCATAATGGGCCTCAACTACTATGAGGATGCAAGTACCATAATAATCCATAAGATTGGATATGCGCCAACCAAAATGAAAGCATTGGCAACAATCATCAATACTCTGGCTGGCCGTTGGACCAGCACTCCCCTTTTATTGGGATCGATTGGGCATAATCCGGGCATAATCATGAAAGTGGTGCATATACCCTCTGGTTATTTAACAGTTCGCCATGGTATAGATGGCCCATAGAAATAGATGCTTTACCGTTCTTAATAGCATGGTGATTTTCCATGGCAAACCGTTAGTCATAACCAGATGGAAAAACATATTTTTAGCGACAAACTTGTTCATCGATCTGAGGAGAACCAACTCTCATAGTAATCAATCCACCGTTGACAATACAGCTTGGACCGCTTGCACCCACTCAAAGTGGGCGACGGAAGCGTCGTGTTTGGTATGGAAGTCAGCGGCTGAAAATCATGTCGAACATTGTCATTTTGAAGAGTTGAACCAGAGTTGAACCAGAGTTTAGCTCCCATTCATCCCAATTCCAATGGGTTCCCATCATGTCCCCCATTCTTTCGTGGCAATTTTCAAAGAAATATGGCCTCGACAAGGCCATCGACCCACTGAGCACAAGGCACTGGCTGACTCTCGCCCTAAGTGTGGGAACATCGCTGTCAAACCTGCCCAGTCGTTTCCCGGAAAATTCCAGACGGCCAGAGACGTCCGTCCAGTTCATGTCCTGACTCATTCCTACTATGCCAATTCTAGGTATAAACATAGTATGATATGGTATTGTAACAAGTTATGACTATTGCCCCCCAATCCATCTATGTTTGCTATTGTTTCTACTAGTTCCATTTTAAAGTTCCTGAATCCATTTATGATGAAATTTCATGACTACTGAATCTATCGCTATTCTATGTATGTTTCTTAGATTTACACAGATGCAAGAATATACAGTAAATATATAATATATCAAGTCGTAGAAAAAGTGTTCTTACAACTATGTTTCTTAATATTTGTTCTATCAAAAATCATCAAAAATCAGGAAAAATCATCATTGTTACAAGTTCCATCTTTTCAATTTGTTTCACATTTTTGGGATTTTTTTAGGATCACCGGGCATCTTTTCCGCCTGTGGAGTGAAGCACCTCAAAAGGATCTGAACCTTGGGATGTCTGGGGCGCGATCCCGGCCTGGTAAACAGTCCCAAACAAACATGGACAATCACCATATCACCATGCTATTTTTGTGGGTTCCACCAAAAAAATCCCAATTTTCAATAGCTATGCTTAGGAGAAACCAGAGGGTAAGATGTAACCAAAGTTAATTGGGATGGTTTTCATAAGTGGTTTAGGGCAGGATCATAACTATGTTTTTTTGTTTTAAACCATCATTGAGTGCATCATTAAAATAACCATCCATAAATCATAACCATGGCTTAGGATGATTTTTATTGGGTACCAGTATTAATGATATTAGGATGGTACATACCCACTATTTTTGCATCCTAATAGTTGATGATATTGGGATGATTTATTGATGATGATATTATTTATTGATGATAATTACTATAACTGATGATCAGAAAAATAAACTCATCAATATATTTATTGGGATGATGATATTGGGATATAAATACTGATGATATCGGGATGGTTTTAATCCTACCCAATGTTTATACTACCCGTTTCTGATGATATTGGGATGGTTTATTCTTGGGTGTATCACATTCATACTGTAAATATTGTAAATGTACGTGGCTATATATATATATATATAGCCACAAAAATGTGAAGAAAGTTGCGCATCCACACGGAACATCAAACCCATTTTATGGTGATCTTGGGGATGTGCTTTTTCCCTATATGTATACAATAGTAATATATGTAATAATTTGTATATATAGTCACGGACACCCAGTTTGCAGGAACCAGCCAAAGCAAAGTAGTAAGCAGGAGGGTATTTTAGGGAGTCCCGTTCGGAGCCCCGAGCTGCTTACTGCCCTGGTCAAATTATAGGGAGGGTTCCTGCTTACTGCGTTGTCCCTACTTTTCGTGGGGAAGAGGCTCGGTACAAGGCAGTTTTTTCCCCCGCATGATCTTGACACTAAGTCTACTGTACCTGTCTTGACACTAAGTCTACTGTACAAACACTTCAGGACAACGGAGCTGTAGTAATCCCTTCCTCCTAATACTAAACGTCCCCCTAATACTAAAAACAGGCATCCATCTCCAATTTCCGAAAATTTCAGTTTGGCCAATTTGACTTTTAATTGATCCCCTTTAAAAAACAATTCAAAAATCAACCTACCATTTGTGGGTTCTCCCCCCTAATACTAAAAACTAATTCATCCCGGGGTGTTTAGTATTAGGGGGGCTAGTTTTTAGTATTAAGGGTTTTAATTTAGTATTAGGGGTAAGCTTCGAACTGCCATTTTTGGCAATATTTTAATTGCGTTATATAAGGAAATTTAATTGATCTTGAGATCGGAAAAAATAGTTTTTAGTATTAAGGGTTTTAATTTAGTATTAGGGGTAAGCTTCGAACTGCCATTTTTGGCAATATTTTAATTGCGTTATATAAGGAAATTTAATTGATTTTGAGATCGGAAAAAATAGTTTTTAGTATTAAGGGTTTTAATTTAGTATTAGGGGTAAGCTTCGAACTGCCATTTTTGGCAATATTTTAATTGCGTTATATAAGGAAATTTAATTAATTAATTAACATGACTTCGATTTGGTTCCCTAATAATAAATACCCCCCTAATACTAAAAACTACCTGCCGTGTTTTGTATTAGGGGGGGGGGGGGGGGGGGGGGTTTAGTATTAGGAGGAAGGGATTAAGCAGATTCTGAAATTGTCTTTGGTGTATATGTTCATATATCTGCTTACTACAGGTGTTTGTACTTAGGCCTTACTTAGGTCATTTCTTATTTGCCTGATTTTGGCCTCTGGCAGATGCAGTAAGCAGATCAGTCTCTGCTTACAAGGCGTCCCCGACTATAATTGGGCAATATATGGTAATATTGGGTATATTCATTTACATGGGGATGATTTACGAAATCACGGCCTTTAGATTTACAGTCACTTTTACAGTCATTCGCTTTCCTACATGATGCTTTTAAGCCACCGGTTCCAAGTGTCAGACCAAAGGTGGCCGGGAAATAGGAATCCGTGTCCAAAGTCATGGCGTAGTCAAATCCTACAAGGTGGTACCCCAGTTCGTTAGCTAAGTTGGTGCACATAACTCCAATAACTATGGTTTATGGTACTTATAACTATAGTTAATGGGGTTATAAACCATCTTATAACTGAGGGGGCACCACCTTGTATAGGCGTTGTCCGACGCCTTTTCCGACGCTTTTCGGATGGGGAAGAATCCACTGTGTCATCAGCGTCAGGGTGCACATTTAAATAACAACTTTGGGAGCACGCATAGCTCATGTCCAATTAAAGCCTCATGGATTCGGCCATCTCTGAGTTTGACACAAAGCAACTAGCAACTGAACATCTTTGAACTGTATTCATCTGTATTCCAGAATCACATCATTCAGACTCAAAGATGGATCCATAGTGTCATGGAGCGTTCTTTTTTTCGTAGTGACCAAACTCCCCGAACATGGCTGCCTGGCTTGTTGTCTGAAAAGGGTGGGAACGCCACACACGTCAATGCGTGATCATCATGTTCTTCAAAATGACCATATGGTTAGAGTCAATACCCAAGTTGAGGACAAATCCCATATCCATTCGTCAATAATGCCCGGAATGGCCCTATGTTTGATGATTACATCGTCTTAGATCCTTGTTATTAATCATGTAAACTTAAGCTGTTGATAGGCTAACAACTATATCAATAGATAGGGTATGGCCCAAGGGTATCGCCCTATGCATTTCTTGTTACCCTCCAGTAAGTAGTTTGTTATGGAAACCAAAGAACCATTTATATATATATATTATAGATATATAGTTCGATAATCCTATTCAAATAATGATTTCCCATCGATTTTTCATGATTACCTTATTTAAAAAAAAAGTGATTTTCCAGTTCGCAAACTGTTAGTTTACCCCTTTTGGTGTTTTTTCCATCTCCTGCCAGTGCTTGTTCCAAGAAGAGTGGACCAGAACGCCATCGCCTTGGTTATAGAAACAACAAACTCGACCAGACGAATCTTAACGGATACAGTAGGTGATGAATGGCTATGATAGGTTTATTTATATCGGTTTAGGTTCCATGGATAGAATAGATAGATCATAGATTGAATCGTGATCAGGAACTAATATAGCCTAATCAGTTATTCAATGGTTTTCCCGTTCTACTACAGTACCATTCGTCTCCTGCAAGGGTTCTCCAACTTAACTAATCATTCAAGTAACCATGGAGATTCTGCTTTGTCTCAAAATGGTAAATACTTATGAGTCATATGAGGTCCATTTGGAGAGACCATGATCGGCCGGGATGTTCCAAATTTGGGGACAATCCCCAGAGTCGGTCCATGAAGACGGCTGCTAAGCTTTCCCACGTCATGGCACGGTAGCCTACAGAGAATTCGGAGGCACGTTGTCGAGAAGCCTCCAAAAGGCGGAGAATCACTGATTTCTAATGGATTGATCTGGGAAAAGCATGGAAAATCTAGGCTTCTTGGGAAGCTTCTAATATGGAGGTCATTGGAAGCAAAAGACTGGCTTGAACATGCTTGAACATCTTAAGCACCGACAGTGTTACGTATATCTCTTGGCGGTCATGAGAAATAGAGCACATGGCCTGTTTGGGTCAAAATGTTTCAAGTCGCCAGCACGATCTGTCCACATCCTTGCACGATTCCTCTCATATGGAGGTTTTTTCGGAAATCGGGGTACCCCTAAATCATCCATTTATAGATGGATTTTCCGCTATAAACCATCCAGCTATTGCGGTACCACCATTTATGGAAACCCCCAGTGACCGTCCCGCAGAGATGACTCCTCCATCCACTCGTCAGGGATCTCTTTGAAGCCTTGTGGTGTCCCTATTTCTCAGGTGAAGTTTGAATGTGGGTTTCTGGATGTTTCTGATCTATATCCATTATCGAATCAGGTCTTCCCATCTTAGCAGATGCCTTGATTCCATGATTCCCCATGTTTGCCCCTTTTTTCAGTCACCCAATGGGAAGCTTCCCGCAACCGCATCAGCTCAGCCCGAGCCCCACAAGGCCCCAACGCGGCACCAGCGCAAACCAGAGGCGGTTCTCCGAGGCCTCCACTAAGCGCCTTCGCGCCTGGCCGACTGACTGCTCCAGAGTGGTAGACAAAGCAGGCTTGGAAAAATCATGAAAAATAACTATACAAAAAAAATTATACAAATCACCTGCAGTGTCCTAACTTCCACTTTTTAGTGCTTCAACTGCTTCAACTCAAAATGTGAAGGTGAGGATGAAGGATCACATGATGTCAGTTCGGTGCCTCGTGTGTAAGGCCTTCATGGAAAACCAGAACTGGATAGTCGACGCCTCAAAAAAACACGGCCAGGCTGGGGGAGTTCTGGAGATGGGTGGAAAGATGTGCTTCTGAAAACCATATGCCAGTTTACATATTATAAATTATTATATATATATATACATAATGTAATATATATTATATACATGCTTGTTTATCTATATCAGTGAGACTCTAATCTACTCTAATCTACTCTAATGAAAACTACTCTATTCAAATCTCATCTATTCTAATCCAACCAAAGTTACCCTAATCTTATCTTGTGAAATCTAACAAAATCTAACTTGATCTAATCTGATCTAGTCTGGTCTAATCTGATCTAGTCTGATCTAATCTGATCTAATCTGATCTAATCTGGTCTGATCTGATCCAATCTGATCTAATTTGATCTAATCTAATCCAATCTACCTACAAATCTGCATATCTATAGAATTCTATACACAAATGTATCATCATGTATCCATGTTACAAATCCGTATGTTCTTCTGGCCAGGAAAACCTCATCCTGAACCTTTCATCAACTACCGGGAGCCGTACCCTGGTTGTAGCGCAACCACAAACTTTTCAGGGATCGCTCCATGTCCAGTAGATCCCTTTCCTCGGTTTGTCACCGCCAGGTCACCACCAGGTCACCAGATCAGGTCACCAGGTCACCAGATAGCTGAGGGCCCAGCAGTTTCAGCCATCATGTAGTGAATCACCGCCTTCAAGCGCTGTGCTTTGCGAGGCTTATCCTCCAACTCGCAGAGACGACCACGAAAAGGTGGGAGACACCTGGGATCCCAACAGCTTGGGAAAGCGACAATTCACCATGGCGATTTAGGATCAAGAACCCAGATCTTCTCATTGCTTCAATATCTTTCCACCATCTAAAACAAGTAGTTAAAGTAGCTGAAATTGGTATATATCATTATATATCCATGTTCATTTGACTTGCTTTTCCCTTTTGCACCTTTAGGTCTCGAGGGGTTTGCGTACGTTGTGCCGTGCAGACAAAAAAGGCGTCTGCTCATGGTGTGGAGTTTTTGAGTTCCTTCGGTGCCTCTCTGGTTTCGATAGCTGGTGGCGCGGAGCGTGACTCGATCTAGGTTGTCTCCTTTGGTTGTTTCATGGCAAATCGCCAGTGGCAGGGAAACCGAGGACGTCGTTCCTTGGAGGGAGATGATGATGAGGAAGAAGGGGAACCGTCGATCCCCAGCAGCAGTGGTAGGGAAAGAAGTTCCACTGCCACAGGACATGATGGGAAGAGGGGTCAATAGGACCTCCACCTACCTATGATGGGAGCCGGGAACCTGGAGTGTTTGAAGAGTACAGAATAAGGGCAAGACTATTATATATGGGGGGTTTCCTAAAATGGGGGTACCCCCAAATCATCCATTTATAGATGGATTTTCCATTATAAACAATCCATTTTGTGTACCCCCATTTTCGGAGACCTCCATATTGTTTTTGGGGTAAGTACTCGTGGTGAAAAGCCCATGGATTTTTTTTCGTCCCAAGTGGGATGGAAAATATACCCCAACTATATCCCACATTGTATCACTACTAGCACAGGAGAAACACCGGGTTATCCTTGTTATCATTATTACCTCCTTGCTAACTTACCCTCTGGTAAATAAACATAGACCCTGAAAATCACCAATTTTTAATGGAGACTAATCTTCCAACCCCTATCTGCCAGGGTCTATGTTAATTTACCAGAGGGTACTATATCCTTAGGATGTCCTTTAAAATCGATCAAACCTCCATGGGTTTTAAAACTGCCAGGAAACTCGCAAATGCCCTCACCACAGCGGCCACGTGGGACGAGACCTGCGGCACTGCGTTGAACGTCGCGTTTTTGAAGGGGAAAACCGAACGAATTTCTATGGGTAAATAGTGGTTAAGGGGAAAATTAGCCATTATATGAGAAATGATTGGGAATTGATGGGTCAATAGTGGTTACAGTAATGAAGGGTTAGTAATGGATATAATGGATCAAGTGGCATTTTGCAAGGGAAACTGAAGGAACAAACCATCCATTTTACGGTGAAATTGGGGGATGTAATGGGTAGAAAACCAATCAATTTACCATGGGGATATGCAGGGAATATCATGGGGACGTATAGGGATATATAATCTCAACAATATGATATCTGGGGGAATCGCATATAGGGGATTTAGACAACAAACATTGGGTTGGGAAAACAAGACTGACATGGGATATTTATACAATGGAACACTGTATGTAACCAACAATGTGATGTGGATGTTTATGCCTACGGCCCGAAAACCGGCCCGGCGTTTTTGCGTTTTTTTTTTCATTTTTTTGCGTTGTGATATGTTGAGGGGGGGTGGGGGGAGTGTAATAACGTCCTGTGTTTTCGTTGTCTTCGACTTACTTCGGTGGACACACTTCATGTTACGTTGCACACGTCTCCTGTACTTCGGTGGACACACTTCATGTTACGTTGCACACGTCTACTGTACGAGTACTTTGTTTGATGCTTATGTTTTTACGCTTAGGGACTCTGTTGCACGCACATGATGTTATGCTACAGACGTCTTAGGAATGGCGGTACATTTATAGGAATGCAGATGTCTGCGACATCACTGCCAAGACTGTTCGCAAGTTGGTCTGAAGAGAAAAGAAGTGCTGCCGCTGTGACGAAATGCAAAACCATCCAAAAAACGTAACGTTTTTTGAGGGTGTTTAACATGCATTTTAACTCCCCCTGCAATAAAACAAAGATTTTTGATAAATCCCAATAGAAATGCAGTACCAAAGGAAACCACGATGATTGTAGACATGTGGCAAACGCCAAGATTTCAGCAAATAAAAAGAAAGACTGACCTCAAAAAATGATGAAAACGCGACGATTTCCGGGCTGTTCGGATGTTTATGTATTTTCCCCGATTAAAATTATACATAAATATACTAATAAATCTAATAAATAATAAATCTCATAATATCACAAGTTTGGGGTAATTATTTTTGTTTTTTTAGGCAAACCTATTCTAGGTATGGATCAAAACCATGCTCCCAGTTGTTGTACCAAGAGTATTGACCCATCCTCATATGTGTCCAATCACTGCTTGAGATTATACTTTAACCACAAGTACCATGATGTTCAACATGAATCATGCTGTTTTCCAGTGCAATTGCACCCAAATCATCCTAGTTTTCCAAAGTTTCTTCTCATCTAAGTCTGTGATGCTGGTATTTTGCCACCAGTATTTGCTCAAGGAAGCACCAAAACAACGCCCCAAAGGGCATCTTCCCGTTTCATCATGTTTCATCCATTCCCCTCGACTCACCAGGATGATCACCATTTTCAATCACCGCAATTCGCCTTGCTGCAAGAAATACCGCAGGCCAGGTGTCTCAACCATCGCCAGTACAGCATACTCACCTCACGCAGGTCGTGGGGTGCATGGTGAAACCACTTGCGTCATAGACTTTGTTTGAAATTGAAAGCTATGTGACGGTGGCTTCCTAGATAGATCTTGGTATCTAGTAATGCCATCCCAATTTCATGATGATTCATCCATGTTAATCATCATTGTTCATGGTTCAACCTCATTTATGGGCATGCGGGAGAAGAAAGTGGCAAACCTCACTGTGTCACAGCGTCCCCATCCCCATATCATCCATATCCATGTCTCCCGACGCAACTGCATCCTCTCAGAAATCTCAACCTGAGGCGTTAAAAAGTTGACGAGATTTGTCCGTAGGCAACACGCAACAGACAGCTCTTTGTCCTTGAAGTTCTGGTACGTTCTGCTTAGTGACTCTTCACCACCACCAAAAATATGAATGTCACTTCAAAAATCTTCAAAACATGATCCATTTTCCTTTCTTCAAACCACCAATGGTTGAAACATGTTGAACCTACTGGCAAAAAAAACCTCGTCACCAAGCTTCCAGCTGGCTTGAAGAGAAGCTCCTGCGGTGTTTCGCCCACTGCTTCCGTGGCATTTTTACGGTGGAAGAGGGCGGGCAGTTCCTGCCTTAGGTTCTCCTTGTCAAAGGCTTGCCTTCCCCAGATCTCCAGATCAAAGATGAAGCGCGAGTGTGGAGAGCAATGCCAACCTCAACTGCTTGCTGGTGCGATTTCACCATCTTGAAAAATATGAAAGTCAGTTGGGAAGGATGACACCCCATAAATGGAAAAAACAAATGTTTGAAACCAGCAAGCAGAAAACTTTGATGATTGAAATCCCCATTTTGGCCTTCAAAACGAGGCCTGCGCCCTACGGTTCTCCCTACCTGCTACCCTGCAGAAAAAGATCAGCCGCGCGGACTTTTTACCTCATGTGGAACAAGCGGTCTCCCAAGCTCTCCTCCAACAGATCAGGTGTGAATCTGCCAAAAGTGACACTTCTCCAAAGCGTCCAAAGAGCTTGGCTATCCGCGAGTGCCAAATCTGATGGGCTCCAACTTCGATGCTAGGTTTCTGTTTGAGGGACCTTCCCCTTTGAGGAATGGTTCGACTGTATGCTTCTAGCATTAATGGAGACAAACTAAAGCTAATTAATTCCTGTACTGGACGGATGGATTCATCGTCATAAGAAAAGGGGGTGGCAGTGTTTTTGCAGGTTGTCTGCTCAGCGCGGCAAGCGCGCGAGCAACCAACTGCCACACCTAAGTAGCCTAAGAGCCTAAGAGGCCTAAGAGCCTAAGAGGTTCAAAACTGAGGCTATTGAGAAAATGTGTCTGAAAATGTTTTCCCTATCTCCTCATGCTGAGTCATACTGCCAGCGTTGGTTCCAGTGATTCAGTCGGAGATTTTTCGAGATTTTTGTTCAGCCAACTCATCCTGCAGCCAACTCATCCACTCTCCGCAGGTCTGTCCTCCGCGTCATCAAACCTCCACTGGGACGGCAGATCCGTTCGGCGCTTCGGCCGTTTGACCATCTGCTTCGGCGGTCGCCAGGCATTGATCCTTGACCTGGTCGGGGGAGAGACATTCTGGATTCACCATCAAAATGGCCATCAAAATTTAGCCATCTATTATCCATCTATTATCATCTATTCATGGTTTCCAGTCCCCAAAATTCACACCCTGCCAGGGTTAGAAGATGACTTTCCACTAAAGATTAGGACTATGTTCAGGGTCGAACTGTTAATTGAAGCTGCAGGGTACTCCCAGTAAAAATATTCACATAAACTGCAAGACATTATGTCATGATATGTCATGATATGTCCAGATACTTAATCCACCGCACTCACCAAATGTTTCGAAGTTTTCAGGGATCCCCCACTCCGATTGATCCTTACCACCACACCTGGCCCATCTCCTGCTCCATCTCTGCCTTTCGCGCCTCCCTCTCCTGCCAATAAAAAGATTGGAGAAATAGAAACTTGTGGCTGGCAAGTAAGATCATCATTTACCCTCTGGTGATTTAACTATTGAAGCCATGGCCTGTAGAAATAGATGATAAAAAAAAATCTGATTCACCATATTCTATTTCGGTATTTCTATACTCAAGAATCTTGTGGCATTTTTGGTACCTCCTGGCTAGTAAGATCCCCATTTATATGTTTGCTGAGTATACTGAAGATGTTTCAACGTATGAACCATTATTTTCCTGCCATTGAAGATCAAATATTATTGCACGACACATGACTATTGCATAAACTTGACGATTGTCAAAGTACGCATAAATATCAAATGTATTCATATATATTCATATATATATATACACATATTATTAAGTACACATGATTATTACAAGTTACCAGAAAACATAACAATAATAATAATAAAAACAACCAATTGTTAAGTAGTAAAGTAAAGATTCTTGAAGTACAACTGGATATCAACGATATTCAACTATGTATATTAAAGAGTCTTAAAGTACAAGCGATTATTTGTTATATCATTATTTGTTATATCAAGGATAAAATGCACATGCTTGTCCCATATGTCATATGATCTAGTTATCATTCAAGTACAAGTTCTCGTTAAGGAATTTACGTATCATAGTACAACTGGCTATCAACCAATCCATTGATGAAGATCCGAATCTGTGTACTTTGACACTGGAAAGTTCATAACACTAAAAAATGATACGCTTTAATTCGTGTGATTCAAATTATCATGGAATATAACGATTCTCAATACTATGCTTGGATTTGCTTAAAAGGCTCCTCCGGCCCCTCCGAGCCTTCCGCCCAAAAAAAAACCTGGTGGATTCCCCTGGTGGCGTGGATCAACAGATATGGAAATTGACAACTCACCTTCAGCTTATATAAATCCAAGTGTCTGGGTAAATGATCAAAATTCGCTAAGAATAGTTCGGCCACTCATCTTCCCTTCCCATGCCCTGCCCGGTTTTTGGAGCACTGAAAAAACGTCCTCAAGGCTCACCACTTTGTAGCAGCCACCCAGCTTGACCCACCAGAAAATGAGCCCTGCCACAGCCCCCAGAAACAGGAGTGTCACTACGACTCCACCTGCCACACTGGCGCTGTAGAGCAAAGAGATCAATAAGCAAATACCAGGCACTGCCACAAACATGACCTGCCAGTGGTTTTTTTTTGTGGAAATGGGAGAATGATGGCATCATAAAATGGCAATGGCAATACCACCATCATTGAATCAGAAAATAATGATTTAACCAGCATTTAGTGGAATATAATCGGATAATGCATGATAATGCTGGGATACTGATGGGAATATAACCATGATGGCATATTCATGGAATATGAATAGGGATGTCATCAAACGTGGCAGGCTGGAAATCCCAAAAAACTAGCCATGGAGGTTTCTAGTTCTGAAAATCATCAATGGATGATGTGTCGCAAACCATGTTCGATTATCAGAGGGGAAAGGACATTTTTATAGGAACCCATAGGATCCCAGTCATGGTTTTTCTTGGTGGAGTTCCTCGCGGAAATCGAAATCATCCCAATGATTGGGCTACAAAAGGGAACCCCACATCCGACTGAGTCAAAAAAGGAATGACGAGGCTTCCCACCATTCATCATCCGAACGAAAAATCAGGCCTAAATATTTACAGCAACCCCAAAAAGTGATGTAAAAGGATCAAAGTCCAGCCATTTCAAATTGGATGTTACTTCTGCGTCAAAAATTGGGGCTTGAAAAAAAAAATGTGACTGAAACCACCGGCGCATCACCAAGATGTAGATCAGTGGCACCAACCTCCAGTATGAGGCATAGAAACCCAATGTGCATGCAGCTCGCAGCACTACGCGGCGCATCACAGGCACTGGGAACCAGATCAAAATACCTGGAATCCATGCGCATCTTCGCCCTTTTCAAAAAACAAAAAAGTGAGTCGTTGTTTTTGGATCAATGGATCTCATCATCCATTTAATGGCCTATGAATGGCATATGAATGGCATATGAAAAGCATATGAATGGCATATGAATGGCCATTGATGCTGGAAAACAACAAGTGGAAACCTGGTGGAAACGAAAACGATGTTTTTGAAGCCACCAGATGCCCGTCAAGTTGAACAGCAGGTGGCAGAAAGCGATCTGTAAACCTCGGCCGGTGTTTTTCAAAATCCCCGATTTAAGCTACAGAGTTTTACTTCGATAAGATTCGATAAGGAGGTTATGTATGGATATGTATGGTTATTATGTAAAATACATCTAATCCCATCTAATCCCATAAATCAAAATCACAAAATCTAGGGATTTTGGATGGGTTTTTGATCGAGAGTGACTGCCATACTTCATCACCGCCAAGGCCGCAAACATGCTGGTGAAGGTCGTGCCGATGTTGGCTCCCAGCGTCATGGGCAGCATTTTGTGCACCGGCAAAACGCCAATGCCAACCAAGGGAGTGAGAGCCGAGGTCGTAACAGAACTGGACTGTACAATGATGGTGATGCCCAGACCAACCAAGATGGCCAAGTAGTCGTTCATCTGAGTTCCCTGTGGCACATGTGGGGGTGAGATCTTGGAAACCAGCCGACGGGAAGAGTTTTACTGGATCTGTCATGAAACGAACGCTACAAGTACGTACAACTGAATTGCACTGGAACCTGAACAAAGCGGGCAAAAACACCTTTCACTTTTTTCTGTACAAATTGTCTTATTATTCTCACTCAATAAATGACAGGTGTCCATAGCTTTTTAGCAACGTTTTCCTGCCTTGATATATATAAAGTATAGGGAGACAAACAGGGTATCAGATAGCGTTGCTAAAAAAGATCCCATATAATTACCCATGATATCACAATAAACTCTTTGGCTGGTGTTTTTATCCCAAATGGATGGAAACTTACCGTCAAATTCGCCCATGACTTTCTGCTGTATCCCCATTATAAGTCATTATACATACATTTTTGGCAAGCTTGAACCTCCATTTCTTTCCATATGATTCTCATCTTTCCCCAATAATGTTCAAAACCTATGACATTACCATATTTGGAGGAATAAACATCCAGTAAAAAAAAATCAGCCATGACTTTGGGTGCGATTTCGGCGCTTTGGAGTTTTTAATAACCATATGGGGGGTTCGACTAGACGTCATGGGGGATCCCTAAATCACCATAGGTTTCAACATGGTTTCAATGGTCATGACGACTGGATGATGACTCGTACGGTACCCCCATAACTTTGGTTTCCAGCAATTCCCAGCACAAAAGCGATGGAAATTAGCATCAAATCTTGGGGGATTTGATCAACTTATCCATCATCCATCAGTCCCAGCGATGGAAACCGGTCGGTTTTTCTCGGTCCCATCCGTTAGTGACGAGCCGGTCCCGCTTCACGCGTAACGGCGTTGCGCGGCCTTCATGATGACCTTCTTCGCCTGGCCCATCACCAGGCTGTGCAGAAGCTTCACCATGACGATCAACGCACCACAAAGGACCAGCAGTGATAGGATCAATCCAATGATGCCACCTGACCCAACCACTCGAATGCTCGAAAAAAACCCGCAGAAATAGAATATTTAGATAGGTTTGAAACCAAGCAAAAAAGGTGATATGTAGTTTTAGAAAAGCTAGTTGGAGATCTATATTACCGTGTTTTAATCACTATTTTACAAGGTTATTAAAGTTTTAACCATCAAACATATGGTGGCACAGTTGATAATTGGTGGTTGATTGCGTGTGATTGGGGGGTATACTATAGTTACATATAGTTTCTATAGCCTTGATTGGGGATTAGTACAACCTATCATATGGAGACCTATCAACCCACTAGTATCCTTGGATGGGATAGGTGCCATCTTTCCTAAACCATATCCCAGCGGGTTTTTGGTCACCCAGCGTCACCTGCCACATCACCTGCGTCTTTCAGGAAACCACCTTTTATGGTCCTTCCAGTCTTGATGTTCTCGTCGAAAAATTCCTGAAGGATTTTAGCATGTTTTGAAATGGGCAACAGAAAAGTACTGTACTAGTTTAAAGATGTTCCTATGGCGAATTCCCCACTCATGGTTTATCAACGCACTTCAGCGACAATAAATTTCATAGACTAATGCAAACACATCAGGATTTTTGAAGTCATATACAACACAAAAAAAAAAACAGCAAATTCTGCCCCAGGATTCTCCCGCATTGGTGTAACAAGTGCCCGAATCACATGTCGTGGTGCCACTGCAAGCAACCAAGAAAGACGCGTAGGCCTCCTTTGCCACTTTTTTCCATGCCTTGCTCATGTCTGAAGAGACACCTGGGTCGTATGGATTGATAATTGGCAGAACCCCCATGGGTGTATCACCAGTTTCCGACTACCTGGTTTTCTTGCAAGCCTAAATCCATCATGCACTTCCTAAATCCTTGTTCCGATTGATTAAATCCGTTGGCTGGTGAAATTAAGCTAGTCCCATCTATTTTGAACGGAAACGGATCTATATCTGATGAATAAACATTGGTTAAACTGCTAGTAAAATTACAATAATTAAGCTAGTCCCCTATCAAACTGATCTATATCATTCTATATCAATATGGGTATGGGTCAATACCTATTAATACCATTTTTAGGGAATGACCATCCATTTACCAGCTATTTTGATGTTCACCAGGGGGATAGGGTTTTGACCCATCCCCATATCTCTATTGTCGCTGCCCAGGCGCAGTATTTGGTGCAGTCGCTGCCACAACTCAGCGCCTCGGGCGCGCCGAAGGAGAGGGCCTTGATGGTGTTCTTATCCTTCGACAGGAAGAGCTTGGTGAAAGGGCTGACGATCTCTTTGGTGGGCGACGGAAAACGCCTTGAATGGCGCTGGGGAAAAGGGGAAACATGTGGAAAAACCCATGGCCAAAAAAGGATCCCGTACTGGTACTTGAAGACAGAAAGATGGAAAAAAACAGTTTATAGAGGATTTATAGATGATTTACCCATAACGCCATTTCCATAATTATGTGAAGTTTTTCAGATCTCCCGCTAGTTCTCCCCAGCAAAAAGACCCATTTTTATCGAGCCCAAAAAAGATCGATCGATTTTCCAGCAGGTCACAAGTCAGATTCTCCACCGCCTCCAATAATCGCATCAGTCAGCCCTTTGGAGATGAAATACAGCAAACCTCCTTCTCCGGTAATGGCCGAGATGATGATTTCCAGGGGCAACAGGGTCAAGACCGACAACATGTTAAACATGTCATGCACCGTCGCCCCCGAGAAAGCACGTTCCAATTCCAGGCGGTCCCCTGCATGAGCCATGCTGACCTGATGTGAGGAGAATCCTGACGGAAATACTGAAAATATGTTAGCGCGTATACAAACCATCTCATGGGCAATGATACGTATATACAATGAGTCTCAATCTATGTACTGTACATCAACCCTCCATATATCTAAAAAACTATGAGTATATATACAGTATATATATATACATATAAACATGAACATCATATGTGTATACATTTACATATACATATGCATACAATTACATACACATCTACACAGACTTGTATTAATACGTATATAAGTCAATATATATTATATGTACACAGTATACATATTATATTATATATATTATATATATTATATAATATATATATATATTATATAATATATACTATATATATTATATGTATATTATATATATATATGTATACGTACGTGGTTTGCTGCGTGGTTTGTCTTCTCCATGTAAGCCACCACGTTGGTGGTTAGATTTGTGGCAAGTCCATTGGAAAAAATGGAGGAAAGGTTGAAAAATACAAAAAAAAAACACTGCGTTTAAGCGATGTTTGGGTGGTAAACAGCTCGCTTCAATGACGAGTCCTTAAAATTTGGGCAGCTCGAAATGGCAGAAAAAACACCCTGTGTTCCGACTTCGGGGCATCTCAATCGCTTGACGCGACTTAGAGTCGACTCACCAATGTTTTCAAATCACATATTGACTGTCTGGCACCGGCCATGGATTTTCTGTGATATTCTTTGCCATCCCTGTGTTGAGACTTTGGGGTGGCTCTTTCCATGCTTGGTCATTACCTCCGGAAAACATAGCAATCAAATCCAGAGGAAAAAAGAAGCAAGATACCGACAGTAGGATGGCGACGTCCTTGCTGTCACACCTGAAAACAAGCCACACCTGACAAGTCAAACCTGAATTCCAGTGGACACTCCTGCTAGCTGCTAACCCGGAAAGAGTAGTCTTTTTAGTTCTACCTGAAATCTACACATCGTCGAAAGCAATTACAATGCTAACCTGGCAACCGATGTTCCTTCACCTGGTGGAATATCCCGCGACCGACCAACAAAAAATGTAGACGGAATCCACAAACGCGTCAATCAGGCATCAAAACATCTTGGAATCTAGAACAAACCCCCACAACAAACACCGCAAACGTGGCAACCAAGCATCAAGAAGTCTTGTGATCTACAACAACCACACCAGGTGAAGTCGACAAACTTAGCATCCAGACATGTTACTATCTACGCCCAAAAAAAGGTGGAAGCCGTGTGATCTATAGCACAATTAAAAGCATGGTAGATGCTACCATAGCACATAGGGGATGCTTGGCCTTCCCCCTGCAGCCAAAAAAGGCAACCCGCACAAGAACTGCAGGTGAGCAGAAATACACTGGTGAATGCTAACATAGAAATTGGGGTCGCTTCGCGTTCCCCATGCAAAAAAACACTTACAAAGACAAGAAGTTGATGGATGAACGCTGAAGTGGTACTTGGTGGGCCCTCCTTTGGCACCACGGGACACCCAAGGAGACCCCACTATTTGCCACTTCAGCGTTCATCAATTACCGGTTTTCCCGTTTACTTCTTGTGTGGGCGGTGGTCATTCTTTAAGAAACCAAGCACCCCAACTGCAATGTTAGTATTCACCCGTTGTTCCGCTCATAATTCTCTTTTAGTGCGTTCCTCCTGATAGCAAGTGCTGCTTACTGTGCTATCCCTGGAAGATTTGGCAACCAATCAAAACCATCCACCAAGAGTAGCATTTGCAGACACATTCAATTCTTGGCTTTTAAGAGACAATAAGAATAATAAAACATTATCAAAAAATGAAGAAACATGTCGAAAATAGATAAGGAAAAATAGTGAAAGCTAGAAGATAGGGGAAACTAGTTTAAAAACAGGAAAACTACGGAAAAATAGGAGAAGAAAACGTGCCAAAATAAAGACAACGAAGTGGACATAGTAAAAAGGGAAAACAAGTGAAAAGCAAAGAAACCTAGCAAAAATAGTAGAAAATATGGAAACATATGGAAAAATAAGAAACAAATAGTGACAAATGAGGAAAATTCATTAATTATGCCTAACATACATCAGAAGGTCTCCGTGACCCAGGACTCGTTTTGCCTGGTCTCCAATTGGGCCCATGAACCGTGGAAGACGTCCAGATGCTTCCGTTTCCATAGGCAGGTGCCCCATCAGAAACTAGACATGTTGTTTTGCCATGCCTGTCTTCTTTCTCTCTGTGCGTCTTTAGAAGAGCTTGTTGCAGAAATCTTTGCCCAACTTTCCTGGGGCTGTTTTTAAGATTTTGGAGCAGTTCTATCAAGCACACAGGATTGGGTTGGGCCCGCTTCCAAACACGCCCAAATCAGCGAGGAAGTGTATCCTTCGGATGGAGCGTGCAAGGTGGATCAGAACCTGGAAGCAGTTGCAGCATCGATCAATCTTCCAATATCGTACACTGGTTGGTGGTTTCAACCCCTCTGAAATATATGAAAGCCAGTTGGGATGATTATTCCCAATATATGGAAAATAAAAAATGTTCCAAACCACCAACCAGGTACAGATTGAGTTTTAGGTGTGTAAGTGCGGATGACTTTTTTTTGCCCCACCCATCCCTTCCCAACCTCATACCCCAAGCACAAAAAACAGAAACACACACGTACTGTTTCCCGCCGCGAGCATATACATACGTATATACGTATAACTAGCTTCTTGTACACATGTATACTTGGTGAATATGAGAATAGTTTCTGCATTCAATGGCCATTTCAGGGACCTAAATTGGAGCTACCTACCATATAATCCATATATAATGGCCAAAAATATGGTACGTTTACGTACCTCCATTTTAGGATCCTTTTTTATTCCTATTGATACATGAGTGTTCATCTCTAATACATTGTAGTACCATATTTGAGCGGGATAAACGTCCATAAATCGCTCGAGCGAAAATCTCGTGCAGACAGGAGCCCCAAGGTTGGGACCCATCCCCTAAAACCCAAACACCTTCTACATTGAAAAATTGGTTACATGTTCACTGTTATATTGTATAATATTCATGTATGATATAATCTATATATTTTCATTATATTCCAATATATTCCATTATATCCCACTCTATATAATATCCCATCATACTTTCGTTGAACTCCTATTTTTCTTCGGTGTTTGAATCAGCAGGGTGCCCTGCATTCTTGCCAGTTGAACCCCCAATTGTTGCAGGTAATGCCTCCCAAAAAGCAAAAAAAAACATCCTTAGAATCCTTGTCCCATGTCATATGTTGTTTCAATCTTAACTCATCCCATTCATCATCATTTAACCAGCCCCCCATGTCATCCCCCCAAATCCTATGTCATCTCCATCATCGCCGTGCTACGATGCTATTGGTCACCGACGTGCCGATATTGGCTCCCATGATAATGGGAATCGCCTGGGTCACAGAAAGCACATCCGCGCCCACCAAGCCGACCACGATGCTGGTGCTGGTGGAGGAACTTTGGACCAAAACTGTCGCCAAGATGCCCACCATGAGGCCTGCTCTTGAACGTCTAAATATCAAAAGACAGATTTAGTTATATATATATATAGATAGATAGATAGATAGATAGTAACCCCACAAAAGAGATACAAAAGTCAAGCATCACTATTTCAGTAGGTTTTTTTGGTCTGTTTTTTTGTTGGTTTGGAAATTCTCTGGGAGGATTCCTCGATTTATCACGGATATTATGGCTGGGTTTTCACTCCATATTCCCAGGTGTTGGTCTTTTTCTCCCTTTTTATTTGGTCATATATTGAGTTATATGTATATTATGTGTATAATATATATATATATAATATATATATATAATATTATGGATAACTGGATAAGTGATAGTAATTCACTCATCACTCATCTGACTTTTTATGTATTCTTTGGCATAGTTCCTTCCCCAACTCCAACACATCATCTGTATACTGTCTATTTTAACAGTGATGTCATTTTCCAGCCCCCAGGTCCAACAGGTCGAGCCTGCAATAGGATTGTCCGAGAAGGTGAACAAATTTCCAGCCCCTTTGCTGCCAAGCGCACTGAAGGAGCCACCCATCAAGTCAAGACCAAAGAGGAAGAGGTACAGAGAGAGGAGGACACCCAGGATCTTCAAGGTCACCAAAAGGGCGAACACTCCGGCACTCTGCTCTTTTTCTTCCGCCATGGGTTTTTAGAGCAGAATTGATGACTGGAACGAGTCTAGTTGAAACTGGCTGAAACGAGCCCGATTGCTGAGAGATTCCTCAACCACCACCAACCGACCAACAGACTCGCCGTCCAAAAATAGCGCCCAAAATCCCAAGATCATCCGTTTCCCTATCGAAATTGCCATCGGCCAACCACTCCTCCATTTTCAGGTACCTTTCAGCCGTTCCACCAGTCGATTCGCTAGGTCTCCGCACCCCGTAGCCATGCATCTTCAAGAGAAACTCCTCACTGGAAAAGCACCTGCCTCCCTTTCCTAGCCTTCCCGGAATGTAGATTATTGATGATTGTCGATGATGCTTGATGATTAGTTGATTAATGTTGATTAATTGTTGATTATTCATACTGTCGATTAATGTTGATTGATGTTGATGATTGTTGATTACTGTGAATCATAAATATGATACCCTCTGGTAAACTAACATAGCAATGGAAAATCACCATTTTTAATGGGAATATCAACTATAAATGGCCATTTTCAATAGCTTTTTGTATGTTTACCAGTGGGTATATCTGTTTGTTCTGGAGCTGTTGCTCTTCGAAATTCTGGAGTCATATCGGAAAGTGCCAAGGCACGAAAGATTCTCCTCATCGAAGAACAGGGATAAAGCGAAGCATTGTTAGAGGGTGATCACATGCAGATTCTCAATCAACACCAGGACAATTAGATGCACACAGCCTTCCAACACTCCAGAAACTCTTCGAGTTCACATGCTAAAAAAATCATGTCGTCTTAAAAAAAACGACAAAAAGTCAAAGAGTTCAAAGCCAAGTTTACGCATTGACATTGATGTTGGATTTTCATCATCATTTTCTATTGGATTTCTACAGGAATTTCCCTCCCACATCCCCTCCTGGTGCTGCAGCCTGTACCGGCGTCTTCCAGATATCTTTGGGAGTTAAGGCACTAAAAGTTGAGATTTCTCGGATATATTACTGGATACTGTATATGTGTATTAAAGATGTACTGTTTTATGTATATACATATTATATATATAATGGGTACAGTATTGCAGTAATGGGAAATATCTCTGGATACAAAAACCATTCACCAGCCTGAAATAAGATTGAATAAGGCCATGTCGAATTGATTCCCCTTACCAGCATTAATTATGTAGATACATGAAAATGGCAATCAAATCCCGCACGTTTGGATACTTTGTCTCATGATTTGCAGAATTCGAGCAATTCAAGGTGTGGTGAGACTTCGTGACGTATGCTGGCTAGATCTGGGCGGTCTTGATAGCTAAAACTTTCGCAAACAAGAATCCAAACTTCATAATTTGCCTCAGGGGAGCTCAGTTTTGAAAGCCGATTGACTTCTCTGAAACTCAGGCAACCAAAATGTGAGGGTTTATCATCATATTCCCATCTGTTCCCCATGAAAAAAGGGCTTTTTCCCAGTTTATCCCAGGGACCGAACGACCCACTTGATCCAACGCCTCAAAGAGCTTCTGAGAAAATGGGCGCCAGAGGAAGGCGGCGTAGGTGTGCTCCAAATGAAGCCTTGGCCAGTCAGGGAGTGATTTCGGATTTTGGGCCAAGATTTTTCCAACGATTCAATCATTTAACTATTCACAACCATTCATTTAAACATATATATATACAGAGAGAGAGAGGATTGCAAAAAGGTATATGTACTATTATGTACTCATGTTTTTCTGCCTACGGTGTCATCAAACATGGCATTTCATGGTAAAACCCCATGGGAAAACCCCGGGTTTTCAATGCCGCTCAGGCCGCTACAACTCATAGCCATAGCCTCCTCGGTGGAGCGATCTTGACGAAAATCCCATGGTATCCCACGGTGACATTTCGGGGATGGGGGGGAAATCTATCTGAATCTATCTGACAGTGTCTTACAGGCTTGCACTGAGTTATACCATCTGAATCTATCTGATTCATTGATGTGATGCTGAACAAACCAAGCATGGACATCGTCAATCATGATTTTCACCATGGCACCGTGACATTTCTGCCCCACCTGGTGAAGTTCACTAAGATAGTGTGGTTCTCGTGGTTCTCCCACCATGATTCATTAGGGATTCCACATGATTCCACCAGTAGCACTATAACAACAGGAGGATGACCGTTCCTCTATGGAAACATCTTCCGCAAGTACCGTTTGGTTATGACGAACAGGGCTCGCCATGGTTAAGCCATGGCCCTAATCGAAATAGAATGAAATAGATGGTAAACACCGTTCTTAATAGCCATCGTGGATCTTTCCATGGCAAACTGTTAGTCATATCCAGAGGGTAACTTGACCATGGCACATTTAGGATGAACTCAACATGTTTTTTTGACAGCCCTCGTCATCGCGCCGGCAACGGGCCGGCAACCAGCTTGGTGAACCCCCATAGATGCATACTCGCCCAAAAATATACCATCTGGTTATGACTAACAGTTTGCCATGGAAAGATCCACCATGGCTATTAAGAACGGTGTTTACCATCTATTTCATTCTATTTCGATTAGGGCCATCTATACCATAACCATGGCTAGCCCTGTTAGTCATAACCAGGCCGGGTAGATGGTGCAGTTCTCATATCATAACTGGCTCAGTGGGCCCCCCACTCATGGTGTCCACGGTGGCCGAGATTGAGCATTGAGCGAACCAGACTGAGGAGGTTACCTCGCAGCCAAAAAACAAAACGGTTGACCAGGGAGAAAGCTACAGGAGACTGATCCTTTGTTCCAGTCAACATACGTAGTCACATATATTACACATATATGTATATATATATATGTATATATATATGTGTGTAATATACACATGTATGTATGTATATGTGGTAATGATGTATATCAGAATATCATCATCATCATCATCATCATCATCATCATCATCATCATCATCATCATCATCATCATCATCATCATCATATATATATATATATTATTATATATTCATATAGTATAATGCTATACAGAAAGGAGATATTGGATTGGATACAGTAATCCTGCACATGCTCCGACTCCAACACACACTTTTAAACACTCGCGGGAAACCTGGCCATCTGATTCTTGGTTTCACCGCCTAAAAATGTTCCTTGGAACTTGGGAATCATCACCCCAAATATGGTTGATAACTGTTGATCATATGTGAAACATTGTGAAACCACCAGCCAGTAGCGCCAGGAGCATGTCCGAAGATATCCAAAAACAAGGTAACGCCGCCCGTAAAGACGCGGGCTGTTTTGCACTCAGGCATTTCTGATGTGCTTCAGGACATGTGGCACAGCTGTCCAAAGGTCTTTGCCATTGTTGTATCTGTACTGCCAGCTGTAGGTCCATTGCCAAAGGCATTGAAGTTAGTTGTGAGAAGATGTAGACAGGATGTTACAACGTAGCATCAACCTCGTCTATCCTCGTCTCAGAAGTAAGTTACTGGAGAGAAGATGTTACAACGTAGCATCCAGAGCGTATCCGAAGTTAGTTACTGGAGAGAAGATGTTACAACGTAGCATCCAGAGCGTATCCGAAGTTAGTTGTGAGAAGATGTAGACAAGATGTTACAACGTAGCATCAACCTCGTCTCAGAAGTAAGTTACTGGAGAACGTTAACATCACCCCACCCCCCCACCCCAACCCCAGCGTATGTCACGTAACGCTTCCAAGGAACGTTAACATCACCCCACCCCCCCCCACCCCAACCCCCCCGTATGCGTCACGTAACGCTTCCAAGGAACGTTAACATCCCCCCACCCCCCCCACCCAGACAACCCACAAAAAGTATGAACGCAGTAAAAAAACGTTAAAAAACCCCGCGTCTCTACGGGCGGCGTTAGCAAAAACAACCTTCGGATGGTCGCCTACAATGATGCCTTTCTACTACTGTGGTGTGCTAGCCTCAATGAACTTCTACAAGGTCAGGGCCCCGATAGTTTTTCATTGTAACTTGCTAAACCGAGGGTTTATGGATACGCCTTCTGTTCACATCAAAATAGCTGCGATTTATGGATGTTCATTGCCTAAGAAATTGTATCTATAGGTATTGATCCATAGCCAGCTATAGTTTTCAGGTTATAAAAACCATACGACCAATATCGCCAAGGACCTCACCCTGTAGGAAAATATCTGTGGGAAGTGAAAATTCACCCATCGATGGCCATGGCTGTAGCGGAATGGCAGGGAAGTGGATAAACTCCTCAGTTTTCTTCGGTATTTCATGAAAAAATATCGGGGAAAGGATGACACCTTACACTGTTATAATATTGATATTCTTTTCCCAAAATAGGTCTAATTACTATCAATAGACATTTACAATCATTGACATCTACGTGCTCGACCAATACAAGTGATCAAGCTTCAAGCTTCATGAGTTGCTCTCCAGTAAGTTGACAAAGAGGATCTGGAAAACCTATGCTTTGCCTAGGAAATGAACTAGAAATGCTGCATGTTTTCCATATCTGTGTGCAAATTTGCTGGAGGGTAATTCATATTCACTTTACTGGTATCATTCTTGGATGGTCCTTTTTTGATGGATGAATCAGTCATGATCGATCACCCTTGGATTATTCAAACATATTCCAAGTTTTGTTGGGGAAAAAATCCAAGTTCTTTCAATGGCAAATCCGATTTCCCCATCATTTCTGGATAAATCGGATAAATCGGATAAATTTCAAGAGTTGCCCAACTTGGAAAGTTCTGCCAAGTAGGGATAGTCACCCAAAATGTCAACCAACCATTGACTTTGCGATTTGTTCGGCAGCTGGAGCGCTCCCGCATTTTCAAAGATGGTTTCATCCAAGTGAAAAACTCATCCTGACCTATCCAAATCATGATGCTTTCGAAAAAATGAAGTGCTTTTCAAATGCTAGCAATAAAAACAATCATCCTAAAGTACACAGGTACATATCAAAACTTGAAATACGAAATACCCATTGTTTGAGGATTCTTCGAAATACAGTATCCAGATTATTCTATCTTCTCCAGGATGACAATATCCAGACAACT